ATTAAAATTCATTAAAATCTGTGATATAAAACATAGACACAACCAGCCCAGAATGAAGTGAAAGGTGAACTTAATTATGAGGTGATGTAAATGTGGAGTTACTCGCTTTATACACTTATTTCTTCACTTACCGTAATCTGTAGCGTTTATTTAACGCCCAGCTTTTTATCTCTCTTGGCAATGTAGATTAGTGAAATTCTGCCTTAATAAAAATGATTCGAGTTCGTAAGAAATGTAATTAGCATCACACATTTGTTTTCTAGTTTTTCTACTGAACGGTTGTTCATTTAGCAGATGCTTTAATCCAAAGTGATTAACAATTTCACATACCATGCATGCTTTTGCTCTGTGTTAGGAAGCCAGAGGCGGCAATGCTACAAACTGTAACTGTAATGAAAACAATTCCTTTTCTTATTAACTTCACAAACTATACTCAACAAAATGCTCTTCCTTAACCAAACTCAAATTTAGGCCTAGCAGTCGCATGCAGAGATGGGATGAAGTTTAGCAGGTTTGGTCAAATCTGGAAAATAAAGTTGTGCTCTATCGGTTTGGAGTTTTGAGACTTTTGAGAATGTCTTTTGGCATCCACATTATCAAATTTCAGCACAGCATCCGTAACATTATCTGAAGTTGAGCCACTTTTTGTCTTTTGAGACCAATTAGCATCGGTGGCCATCTTGAATTGGGTTGACTAAACGTTAATATTAAACAGCTGTACATTTCTGATTGTTTAATTCTGGTTCACGAGGTGCTTTGCTAATGAACAAACTCACAACAGCAAAACCATTATCCCACCTGAGATTATTTAAAATTAAAAATATCACTTGCAAATGAGCTGCATTTTATTTAACTTTAAAGGGACTTTACGGAGTTTTGAATTTTTATGCTCGCGATTGCCCCCTCAGACCAAAAGCGTAACGGCAGCTTCAATAGTAGGCTTGTGCACGAGGCGCGCATGCTGTACGTGCACACTCCTTAACGAAAATAACAGTTGAGACAGTCCCTTGTGTGTGTGTGTGTGTGGCCTGGAGGACAGAGGACAAGAGAACGCACAGCTAATTAATTAAATAATTTGGTTCTGTACCTTTCTCTTCAGCACAGCCGACAAAGGTTTATGATGGGTCAGTCCTCCTGCATGCTCAGATCATTCCCTTCCCTTGCTTGAAAAATTGTTCCACAATGAAAGTTGAACCCACATCTTTTTTATCTGTGAATGCAATGCCGTTCGGCGAGTCTCAAATATAAATTTGGGCATCTTACTGTAAAAAATATACCATTAATGTAAAAAAGAAACTCTAAATAAACTATGTTCACATCCGGAATCGAACTCAGGTCTTCTGCACAAGAGTCCGACGTCTTACTAGGTGAGCCAAAGCGCCAGTGATGTAATTTGTATCTGTAACATTTATTTCCTTGATGACAGCTGAAACAACGTTCAAAGAACGGTTCGGAGCGAAAATGGCTATTTTGTTGCTAATTTGCAGGAAATATCTAGAAGAAAGTTCTACAGAAAGTAGCTAAGGGGCCTCAGAAATGTAGCTAGCTTTGTCACTAGGCGTTAGGAACAGCGACAAAGACTAAAGTTAGGAATAGCAAATGCTACTGGCGATGCCTGAGCGTGAACGCGCATGAAGCAGCCTGCTCGACCAGAGCAGCTCTCTTTTTCTGTGATTTTACAGAAAAACAGGCAATCACAGTAAAAATGCCAGGGCTCATTCTACAGGACCAGGGCACTGCAGGAGAATGTATGAAGAAGAAATTTATTATTTCTATACATGTTTTGGCCGTCAAACTTCCATAAAGCCCTTTTAAATATTAAAGAGTGCACAAATGATCTCTTTGGACTCGTCTCACAGCCAGCTGCACACAAGGACCAACGCCATTCATCCGGTTTCTCATTTTGATTGAAGTTAGCTTAGCACAGCTGGAAAGAGGCATTGTTTGAGGTACATCAGCATTTAGCCTGTGGCTGTTGATCAAAGAAGCTTTAATCCAAACATCTCTGAAGTGGGCTTGATGCGCACCGTGCTTCAGGGACATGGCTGCTCTTCTGTACTGGTTTGTTCGAATGGTTTTTAATAAGTCTAATATAAAAAAATAAATAAAGTAGAACAGCAACGCTCTCGATTTACTGGTCGGTCTACGTTCCTACCCTCACCTGTGGCCACGAGCCATATGGTAGTGACTGAAAGACTGAGATCAAGCAGCCAAAAATTGTTCTCTCTGCAGGATGGTTGGGGTCTCCCTTAGAGATAGGGTGAGAAGCTCAGTCATCCAGGAGGGGCTAGGAGTAGATCCGCTGCTCCTCCACATCAAGAGGAGCCAGTTGAGATGGCTCAGGCATCTGGTTAGGATGCCTCCTGGACACCTCCCTGGTGAGGTTTTCCGGGTATGTCCAACCAGGAGGAGGCCTAAAGGAAGACCAAGGACACGCTGGAGGGATTATGTCTCTCTGCTGGCCAGGAAACACCTTGGGATTCCCCTGAAGAAGCTGGCCCAAGCAGCTGGGGAGAGGGAAGTCTGGACCTCCCTGCTTAGGCTACTGCCCCGCGACCCAACCCTGGATAAGCGGCCGAAAATGCATGGATGGTTTTAGCATGGTGACAAACGTTTGCATTCATCTCCAGATGGGTAAAAATGTTAAAATGGTACATCCGGAGGGTCACATTTGGCAAAAACCTCTTCTGTATAAGAATATTTCCACATAAAGGACCATACGTGGTTAATTTGAAGAAGAAGGATTTAGCTTACCAATAAAATCCAAATGGGCTGCATAATTCCGCATTAATAACCCTGCAATGCTAAAGACAAGTGTGTAAGGGTTCATATTTTAACAGGCTGATTATGTGGGTGATCAAACTGAAAACCAGCTGACTGACGTGATTATTATGCAGATATTTTCCAGAAACCTTCCAGCTTTGTGAATTTTAACTACTGTTTGGCAGCAAGGTGTAAATTCCGCATTTATTAGGAAGTATTTTCAGGCACAAATAAATTCTAAAGATTATTTAATAAAGCAGGGATGTGCATGTGGGGTCACCATAAAATAAACAACAGTGCCTTACTGATACAGGCTTCTAGGGTCTTTATGTGTTGTAATATTTCCTAGATGACAGTGAAGGTCAGCGACACAACAGAACAAACAACTTCCATTACAACAGTAATGCTTAATAATAGCACAGACTGACAACATTTATCGCTACGTTTGTGTGTTTCGTGAATTTCATTGACATCAGGTAAAGAGAAGAAAACAGCCTTAATTAACAAAGACTGAAAATGGATAAAAGAGCCTTTTAATGCAGCGATAAAGGTTTTCTTTCCTTGTCGAGCTGAATTTCACCTTCATGAATCTGAAATGGTTTTTGCTGATTCTTTGCAGGAAGTGATCAAATATTTGATGCTTGGATCAGAGATGGAAAACAGAGATGTTTCTTTAAGCCGACTGCTTTTCAGAAACAGGTGTAGGAATAGCATGCGTATGTATTTTGGGTGCTTTTTAAGCTCAATATGCTACACTACATTTGACCAATACGATATGAATTTCTATATAAATATGGAAATCCAGTCTGATTGGTCTTTGAATGTTTAACCAGAAGATTTAGAATTCTTTGTTTATTCAGGGATCGTAAGACACTTCGTATTAATTCAGAGAGAGTCAACTGTATAAAAAAATAAGAAATTTATTTTCGAAATAATTAAAAACATGACAACTAGGAACACTTTATGTGATGAATGAATCTAAGTGGATGGAATGTGAGGTGTGATGATGTGAATGTGATGTTGTCAGAACCTTCGTATCTGGAGAAACTGAGTTCTGAATGGGAGTGAATTTGGTCTGCTATAACTATAAGTAATGGTTTATAAACACATCAGACGCAATCTGTCGAGTCTACGTACCCTCTCGAAGACCCTCGTGGTAGATCCGGAATGTGTTGAAGTCCGGGGACCCCAAAGGTACCGAAGTCCATAGAAGAAACCGCAGTGCCAACTAGACCGGTCACGAGATGTCTCCAGGTCACGACAGGTAGATATTTGCGTCTATGGAGGACTCTTAAGGAGCCGAAGCTGGTTCAGCTTTGTTCTGAAGGAACCGTTTGCTGTCAGCTGTAGCGTGCAACAGGTTTTGACAGCTTGTCAAAGATGCAATGGGAGCAGAGTTTCCCTCCGATGGCCAGTCAGAGTTAAGCTCAACTGAATTCCTCAGGAAGTGATGTTTAAATAATGGCCATATTTTGGTTTACTGATAAATCAGAACTTGCCATGTAAAGGGGTTTTGCCAACAAACTCAGATACACACCTCCCTCAGATATGAAGATGCTGATTTTGTGGATAAGAAAATATCTATGTGCAGTGACGTTAATCCTAACTTGCGTCATGGAGATATGGTGAGTGTGTCTTGTCCAGTCAGGGAGCTGATTAAATATATGGGTCATATATTCATTTCATCCTTGTTAATCTTTCAATGTAATAATAATATTCATTTCAACTTCAGCAATTTAAGCACATATTATTCAAAACATTTCATTTAACCATACTGTCCATTTCATTATATGATTATATGATTAGTTACTCGTATTGTTCATCCATCTTGTTCTGTGAATTAAAACCAGTCTTAGATAAGAGTGAGCATGCGAGGGACCTTGGCCAAGCAACAGTATCTTTCTTGCAGATTGAAAGCACCAGTTAAGACTTATGTTTCCAAATAGCCAGATACTGAAGAGGTCAGACTGTAGGTGGAAAAACTGACCATTCCTGGAGGCTACACAGGATTAAACCAAAGTGGAAAAAAACTAAACAAAAGATTCCAGTCAAAGAAAAGTCTTGTGATCTCTTTATACTAAAGTTGCATTAACCTGCATAAAATCAGTCTGTTTTCCACCACAAGCCTTAAGAACACATTGGTTGTTTTCATCATTTTGGTTTGCTTTCATCATGAAATTTCTTCTTGTTCGGATAACCCAAAACATGGTAAGGGAGAAGTGAGCGTCCTTACTTACCCAATAATGGGATGCTTGAAGCCCAACTTGGCTGTGCTCTGCTGGATCTCCTTCTCCAGCCACGCCTGAGGACGAACCAGGTACTTGACGAACTGAGACACCCACCAGACGGATGGGTCTCCGTGCAGACGCTGCAGACGTGGGGCCAAGTCCTCTGGGACCGCCAGGGGTAGGTAGGGGGGCCGAGGGTGGAGACTGTCCACGATGGGCAACTCTACAACCTGAACATCCTTATCATGAGCCTCACCTAGATGGGACAAAAGAAGGTATACCATGTATTTGTGTTTTTTTTGGAGCTCAAGCTGCTCAAACTGTCTCCTTCCACTGAGACTTTAATTATTAAAGCCATATTTTGCTACTTATTCATATTTTTAAATCATTTTCTTAAGCCAGTATGTGCCAAAATGACCCTATACGAGGTTAATGACATGTCACTCAGACCAAACATTAGGCTGTAATAACTGCGCAATACAAACTGAGTGAATCCTGAGTGCTAACAGATTACATTAAATCTTAATAATGTGTTTGAGAATGAACAAAACGTTATTTTCTAGGTTCACCCAAAATAGTTCAAACTCCATCATTTCTCAACAAGAGCTGATCTGAGGTGAAAACTCCGAAACAAAAGGCTACGGGCAATACGCATTCCTTTAAGGAATGCTCGGCCTTTTATTTCTTTTCATGTTTTTAATGTCAAGTTGGGAGTTGAGCTTTTATGACTGGCAGGTGCACTTTACCTGCCCTTGCTTAAAGGCCAAAGCAATCCCTCTATCGGGTCACATAGAACCAGGAGCAGAAGAAGCAGTACCTAGAGGTAGGCTTGCAGTCTGAACCCCCAAGGGCTGAGTCCTGCTTGGAAGCAGCCGCAAGCAGAGAGCTGAACGGGGCTGATTATGAAGGTCACCCCTTTGGACAGCAGAAGGCCCCCATTAGCTGCCAGACATACCCACTCTTCAAGGCCAGCTGCCTGCATGTGCCTGGTGTCTACTCGCATGTGAAAACAAATGCTGAGAGCACACACAAGCATGCAAACACACAAATACACGCTCATGCACATAGAAGTGGTCCAACAGGAATAACTAATAACTAAATAAATTGTGATCACACATTGACACACACAAAGATCTCCACTAATCACGTCTCAGCAGCAGTGATATGCCTGGCAAATGCAACCTTCAGTCTCTTTCCGCCCTAAAGTGTGTGTGTGTGTGTGTGTGTGTGTGTGTGTGTGTGTGTGTGTGTGTGTGTGTGTGTGTGTGTTATGTGCTTGTAAAATCCTTGATTAAAAAAATAAATAAATAGAAAAACAAGTATAAGGGCCGTGATCCATCAGACAGGAGTGGCTTCTTTCTCTGTGAGAAAATAAATGGCATAATGAGTCATTAAAAATGGCCTTCCACAGCAAGGGTAGACCCAAAAAGAAAATGAAACAAGGACAGAATTAGAGGTTTATATGCAAGTATGCGTATGCTCAAGCATGGACTGAATATAAATTGGTAGAACCATTAAATATTGAACTGAAAAAATATTCCCAGCCTTGCCTTTGCTTATATAACAACACTGGCATGATTCACAAAAGGGGGAATGGGCATCTTTTCCAGCCTCAGCTTCTTGGCACAAACATCCAGATATGCAATATGTCTTCCTTTCACTGCTGCTTAATTAAATCACAGAGCTCCCGGAAAGTGCATCCCTGCTCTGAAACCGGCATGTTTCTGTATACAGCATCACTTATAGTGTATGGGCATGCACTGAAGCAGAAACCTTGTACTGTATTTTAAGTCTGTGATGTACACTGGGCCTCATAAATGTTTCATTAGAGGCTATGAAACTGGAGAACCCAGAGCGACACCATCCAGACACAAAATTCAGAGCCTCTCCATTCATAATACATTTGAGACGAAGTTATGAACTTAAGACATCTCTTGTTCCGGCCTTTCCATGTCAGAGAACATTATGTTACTCCTGCTGCTCTCAGACTCGCACACAAGACAGAATATCTCTACAGAGAAGCACAAAGAAATATACTTTCCTTTAGGGCTGCAACAAACGATTATTTGGATAATCGATTAATCGTATGGGGTCTCGACACGATTAATCGATTAATCGGATTGCATAGGGACATTTTTTAAAACTGCTAGGGAAACGTTATTTTTCTCCTTCCTTCACTTTATTAAACACAACATTATTAGAAAACAGTTCCATAGCAGAAAAACAACATGCCATCACCTAAATTGTCTTATAAGGTGTATAGACAGAGACCCTAAGCTACACCTATCTGTGACCTAAAATGCTTGGTCCAAGTTAAACAGCTTAAAGAGCAAGTCAACCCCTACCAGAGTCTAACTCCACTCCCGCTTCATGTTTGAAAAATGCAACACATGCTGTTGCCTGGCAGACCGAGAGGGCGGAGCTGCTAACAAATACACACACACTCAGGCTCACGACAGCATTGCGGCATCATAATGTACCAGTTTACATCATAGCATACTTCTTAGCCAATAGCTGTGGCAGATTTAAATTAAAATACAGTGCAGAGTTGTTACCTGACAACAGCACAACACTGCCAGTTTTAGGCAGAATATTTAAATTTTAACTAAGATGCACTGAAGTGCCAAATTATTGACGACACGTGTCTGCAGCATGATTAGACACTCGTTTATTTAGTTTATCAGCAAAAAAAGTTTATTTGGGGGTGACTTGCTCTTTAAGGGCAATTCTCATCTGTTTTGTTTGATCTCATCTGTTGACATTTATTATAATTGGAGATGTCAAACAACTAATTTTTAAATGTAATTAAACATAGGCTGTGAATTAATCAAAATTAATCACTATTTCCAAAAATGACTGAAAAATACCAAATAAAACAAAAGTAAATGAATGCCATCCTCCTTGTGATGATGCCCTGGGCAACTGCCATAAAGTCACATCAAGAAATGCTGCTGATCATTCCAATGATCCCAAATAGACTCACATTAGGCCACATGAAAGCAACTGAACCCAAAAATATATTAACCAGTATATAACTGCACTCTCACACAACACGCCTGCAGCAACAGTTAGGACTCCTCCTTCCCTTTTAAAAGCGTTTTCGCTTCTGAGGACATTGTGTTTGTAAAACCACATGGTAGTCTTGCCCCGGTGTGATCAACCAGTTTCTGCGGGAATGTGACGGCGGAACCGGTTCGCAGCGGCGCGAGTCCCCCACCCCCCCCACCCCCCCCCCCACCCCCGCCTATCTAATAGCGTCGCGCTTACAATTTTGTAGACTTTTTTTTTAACGAGCTTAGGGCATGTCTAGCCTGTGTAATAATCCGGGGCTTGGGTGAATCACTTTTGGAAAGTTTTTAACTTACCCGGACACCGAGCTCTCTCCTTCCTCGCTGATGATTCTGACATGCTTGCGTTTAAGACGCTGCATCATCACCGTAGTATCCCCGTGCCATGCTAAATCTGACCTACAAACTTTGCATGTCTTCGCCTGATTTAACTGAAAATGCTCCCAAACTTTAGAAGTTTTTACTTTTTTGGGGTCTTGCTGCTTCTGCCATGTTCCTCTTACAAACACCTACCGGCTCTCCACCGGTCTGCGCGCAACGGCGGGCAGGAGGGGAGGGGGCTTTTGGAAGAGTTGCGCAACACAACGAATCGATGACGCAATTCGTTGCCAACGCTTTTAGTAATCGATTTTCATCGAATTTATCGATTCGTTGTTGCAGCCCTACTTTCCTTGGCAAATTAGCCCTTTGATCAACGGCTCCGCATGAGGACAGGTTTCTGAGTTTAGACGTCCGTTAGAGCAGACAGACATTGGTTCTGGTCTCCACCATCCATTAAACAGGACGGTTCTTATAGCACCACTCACATGTGAACCAATGAGCAGTCTTTAGACAGAAAGTTGTCACAAGGACAGAAAATCAGATCTAGATGAGTTCTAAAATATTAGATCAGACTCAAAGTCATGGTCTTCACTGAAACCACTTCTGACTTTGGCTCCATGTGTTGGAGGAATGGAAGTCAGGGTTGCAAACGATATTTAAATAGGCTAACATGACCTTTTATCAATGGCCTCATCAAATCTAAATAATTGGGAACAGCTTGGTTGCTCGGGTAATTAAGCGCATGTGCTCTGAGCTTTAGTGTGTCTGATTTAAAATTAAACGTAAGGGCTGAGAACAAACATGCTTCTAGGAGCTTAGGTGTATTTGGACCTCTGGGCTATTTTAGCATTTCCTTAAATTTTAACTGGTAAAAGTTAGCAAAATGTGGAATTTAGATTTCTTGGACACAGTTCATTTAAACCAGTTAGGTCCAATTTTTCCTCAAGGGCCACCGTCCCTCATGTTTTAGTTGTTATCCTGCTCTAAGAGACCTGATTCAATTGGTGAATTCAATGTTCTGCAAAAGTCTATTAGAACACAACAAAAAATCCTTTGATATCCCACATCTGAGAAATGTAGGAGTACCAATTTTGGTGAATTCATCAGCTAAGGATTCAACACAGAAGCTGAACAAGCATCCAAAGCATGTGGGCTAGAAGGCCTCAAGAACCAGGATTGGACGCCACAGCAGTCAAAGTCAAGGAATACTCTGCAACTTTTTCATGTTTATAAATTATTTTCTTGAGCCAGTATGAGCTAAAATGACCCTTTACAGGGTTAATGACATGTCATCCAGACCCCCACTGTCTTCTGTGGTCAGAATATCACACTTGCAACTTCAGAGTGTTGGTCCGGGCCCTGTTGGCGCTGGAGCCTGTAGATACTAATGATGGCCAAGGGGAAATTTCAGCGGTTAGATTAGAAGTTAAAAAGATGAGCGCACAGTGAGGAGATAAGTTTGACTTTTACGTTCACTAACGGAACACTAGAGGGTGCTAAAAGCACACCAAAACTGCAAAGTATCCTTTTAATTTTATATGTTTTGCTGAATGAACGGGAAAAATGCGAAGACATGAAACTATGATCCAACTGTGCATTATGTCAGTATTTCTTCCCTTCAAATGCCGCTCTCTATATAAAACAAGGACATTTCTAAACCATTCCTCCAAACCTCCTTGGGTGTAACTATTTGCGCTTTTATTTTCCTTTCCCCATAAATTATTACCTCTGTAATTATTTTATTTATAAAAATAAGGCATCATACCTTAGCAGCAGAGCAAACATAAGAGGCTGGCGTGTTGTATTTGTGTCAGTGTGGATTTTTTTGTAACGTTTTGTTTCTCCCATTTTGCATTTGCAGAAAGAA